TGTGTCTCTGTCAAATAAATAAATAAAATCTTTAAAAAATAAAATAAATAAATAAATAAAAATCTCATTTCCCACCTGATCAGTGAAAATATCATTGACTGGCTCCTTATTCACAGAAGGACTATTGCAACCCTATTCATACAGAAAAGAAAGTATAAAGTAGAGGTGTCCCTAGCTCAATAGGCTTTATGGGAAATAAAACGCACATGATGGATAGCCAAGCGTTACACTGTATGGTGTTGACTATTCCTTGGCAGAAGAACGGAAAGATAAGTGTGCTTGGAACCCGTGGGGATGGATGAACCTTGATCTGGTGTGGAATTCTGTACTGTTTACCAAGGGTATTTAGACAAACTGCCCGATTGAGTTCTCACAACTCCTGAGATACTACTCCTATCTTAGAGGTGCAGAAAGGGGTTTGAAGAGATTCACCTTTGTTGAGGGTGATTTGCCCAAGGTGACACACACAGTCCTAATGATTGGTCCAGCGCAGAGTGTGAGATCTCGAACTCAGACTCTTCCAATTTAGGGCTCAATCTACATCCCAATACCTTCCTGGGAGACTGGGGAACGAAACGTCAGCAGAGAAAGGTGCACACTCGGACTACTGTAACATCGCAGTAGGATGAGTTCGGACAAATGTGGACCAAATTATCCCACCGTACCTTTTTGTCCAAGGTCCTGAGGTATTTCGAATAAAGCTGGAAGAGTGGGCACTTGGAGAGCAAGGGAGAGGTGTGTGGTTAGGTCTCAGGTTTTTGGAGAGGGGCGTGACCCAGCCCAGGCCGCTCTGGGGGCGTGGCGGGCGTGGCGGGGCCTGCGGCGGCCCGGCGCGCTTGGGGCGTGGCTTCCCTGCAGCAGTCGGCGGAGCCGGTGGGCTTTTCCCGCAGTTCCTCAACGGCTCTGCGGGACGATGGCGAGCGACGGGTCTCCGAGCGCGCCTCCGCGGCCGCTGCACTCAGCGCAGGCCGTGGACGTGGCCTCGGCCTCCAATTTCCGGGCTTTCCAGATGCTGCACTTGCACCTGGATCTGCGGGTCGAGTTCGGGCCTCCGGGGCCGGGCCCCGGGAGCCGGGGTTTGAGCGGCACGGCAGTCCTGGAGCTGCGTTGCTTGGTGCCTGAGGGCGCCACCGAGCTGCGGCTCGACTCGCACCCGTGCCTCGAGGTGACGGCGGCGGCGCTGCGGCGGCAGCGGCCCGGCCTGGAGGAGCCGCCCTCGGAGCCCGTGCCCTTTCACACGCAGCCCTTCTCGCACTACGGCCAGGCCCTGTGCGTGGCCTTCCCGCAGCCCTGCCCGGCCGGCGAGCGCTTCCAGCTTCTGCTCACCTACCGCGTCGGGGAGGGACCCGGGGTGAGTTCGACTCCGGGGCCCAGCCCCGCCGCGGCCTCTCCCGGCCGCTTCCTGCCCGCCCTTCCTACCTCGGAGCTGGTGCCCGGACCTGCACTCATCCCCACCCTCAAAGAGAGAGAAGATGCTTCCGCCTTTGCCCGGAGGGGCCCGGAGCCTCCCGGTGCACGCCTCTCGCCCTCCCACCCTCAGCGCCCTCTCTTCCTCCCAGGCTGCCCCGCTTTCCCTCTTGTGGCTTCCGGCCAGCCTCCGAGCTGTGCACCCTTCGTCCTTTCCACCCGTCCTGCCTCTCCCCGCCCAGCGGTTCTGGTGGCATCTCCACGTTGTTTCCTTCTCGCACACCGCCCTGTCTGGTTGCCATTTCTGCCTGCCGAGGAAACCCTGTCCTGTGCGGCTTTCGGGATAACCGGCTATTTATAAATCGAATTTAACGTTTCGCTGGGCTTTGGGGCCTAGGTCCCTGATAAGGAGCTACTTAGTTTTCCCTTTACGGCAGCCCTGGACACTGCCGATTAATTTGCCCTGGGTGCTGACTCAGCCCTTTGTCCGTGTGCTCTTGCGGTGCCACAGGCTGAAATAACTCTGAACCCGAGAGTTATTTTGGCTTTCTTCCGCGAAGTCCCAGATTTGTTTAATGGAAGAATTTGAGTAAAAATGAGAACTAGAATTAGGGTGTTCTAGGCTTTGTAATAAGTTGGCCCTGTTACTACTCTTGATTGACTCTTAAATATTGATTAACTCTTAAATATTACATTTTGGGGTGGGGGACAAATAATTGGAAATAAAAGGATGGATGGTTATGTGGCTTAACATTTGTAGGAGTTTGGAACTCCTCCATAAAGAGTCCTGAGGCTGTGATTGCTAGCCATTTCTCAGGTAGGGTGGGTTATACGTTTCACCCGTAGGCTGCTTGCCTACAATCAAAGTTCACTTACCTAGCTAGCAGTTCCTTTCACTCTTAGAGCTGGCCCAAAAGACAGTTCTGTTTCCATCTTTATTCAGGGAATAAATGAACCTGTGATAGAACTTGTTTAAAAAATGGAAAGTCCAAACCTCTAAGGCAAAGGAAAAAACCCAGTGCCCTCAAACACTGTAAATGTGTTTGGTTGCCCTGTTACATGCTAGCTTCTGGTTTGGGGCAGGAACTAGGAATTAAACAGGATACCTGGAAAAATTAAGCCCTCTCTGAAATTGCCTACTGAAAATGGCACCTCAAATTAAACGCCAATACTAAACAGCTTTCATTAGAGACTAAGAGCAGACACCCACACTTTGCACTGTGAAGGTCGACATTAAAGTCACCTGTATTTATTCCTTCTTCTCATTGCCACCATCCCAAGTGAGGATTCTCACCTTAATCACCGTAGGTAACAGCCTCACCCTGACTTAAGACTCTTTCTTATAGAGCAGAAATACTTGTACTACCAGGCTCCTTCATTTTCTCCTCTATGTCATTATAAACAAAAAAAGGAATTAAGGTATGGTGGAGGGATGACCAGTATTTATTAAAATGTGCCAGGTACTAGTCTATGTGCTTGACCAAAGTTAAATGAGTTGTCTTTATGGAAGTGTCTAGTATAGTGCCTGGTACCTAGTGAATACTGTGTGTTAGTCTTATTGTTAACTCATTAAATTTCTTTCAGTAATAGGATTAAAGACAGTTTAGGGGTGCTGGGTGGCTTAGTCGGTTGACTCTTGATTTCAGCTTAGGTCGTGATCTCAGAGTTGTAAGATTGAGCCCTGCCCTGAATTGGGCTCCGTGCTGGGCGTGGAGCCTGCTTGAGATTCTTTATCACCCTCTCCCTCTGCCCCTCCCCCACCAAAGGATTGAAAATTTAGATTAACAAGAAAAGTGAGCAGATAGTACAGAGTTTCCATATACCCTTCCACATACAGATTGCTCTATTAGCATTTTGCAAGTATGATACATGTGTTAACAATGAACCAATATTGATACAGTATTATTAACTAAAATTCATAGTTGTTTTTTTTTTAAGGATTTTATTTATTTATTTGACAGAGAAAAAGAGAGAGCTGCAGCAGAGGGAGAAGCAGGCTCCCCACTGAGCAGAGAGCCTGATGCGGGGCTTGATCCCAGGACGCCGGGGTCATGGCCTGAGCCGAAGGCAGACACTTAATCGACTGAGCCACCCAGGTGCCCCTAAAGTTCATAGTTTTTTCAGATTTTCATAGGCTTTACTTAATATCTTTTTCTGTTCCAGGGTCCCATCCGGAATACCACAGTATATTTAGCTTTCATGTATCCTTAGGCTCCCCTTGGCTATGACAGTTTCTCAGACTACTTGTTTTTGATGACCTTGACAGTTTTTCTTTTTTTTTTTTTTAAGGATTTTGTTTATTTATTTGACACACAGAGAGAGAGAGAGCGCACAAGCAGGCAGAGTAGCAGGCAGAGTAGGAGGCAGAGGGAGAGGGAGAAGCAGGCTCCCCGCTGAGCAAGGAGCCGGATGCGGGGACTTGATCCCAGAACCCTGGGATCATGACCTGAGCCGAAGGCAGTGGCTTAACCAACTGAGCCACCCAGGCACCCCAACCTTGACAGTTTTGAGGAGTATTGGTCTGATAATATTGTAGGATGCCTCTCTATTGGAATTTGTCTGTTTTTTGCATGATCAGACTGGGGGTTATTAAAAAATTTTTTAAAAGTTTATTTTTTACAGCAGTTTTAGGTTCACAACAAAATCAGTGGAATGTCACAAAGGCAAAGTTCTGTCTTCACATCATATTGCGAATACACAGTATCAGCATGATTTGTGACTGTTTGAAGTTGACCTCACTCATCTGGCCGAAGTAGTGCTGGTTTTTCCACCGTGGTATTTCTTTCTCCTCCTTTCCATCTGTACTATACTCTTTGGAAGGAGGCTTATTAAAATTTTCACACACACACAAAAGAAACTCAAGCAAAGAAAAAGCCAACATCTCCATGTGGCATCTTTATGCCTCTTAAAAGTGTGTCTCAAATACCCGTGTTCAAAGCCTTTCAGTCCACCTGCCGAGGCATGCCTCCCACCTCTGTATCTGAAACCTACCTCCAATTCCCAGAGATCGCCATGCCTTTCTTCACGCTGCTATCTACCTCTTTGAAAATGTCTTCTTTCCTTTCCAGCCATCTCAGTCCTACTCACCTTTAAACCAGAAAGTTTTGCTTCCGCTATGAAACCTTGCCAGAGTTATCTAATCCTTTTATAAATTCTAAGTGGCACTTGGTGCTGACATACCCTCCTCCCCCTCACAGTTATATCTATGTTGTAAGTGAGGTAGAGCATGCAACTCTTGATCTTGGGGTTGTAAGTTTGAGCCCCACGTTGGCAGCAGAGATTACTTAAGAATAAAATCTTTAAAAAAGGAATTTAAAAAATTATATATAGCCAGTACCTATAATGTAAAATACATTTATTCTGAAAGGGTAAGTTTCAGGAATGGAGAACACATATTAATCACAGACTTCTCCCACTTCCCTTCTGCTTTTCTGTGCCTTTTACACCAAGTTCAAATACAGCTGCTTCTCAATTGGTTTTTGTTTGTTTTTTAATGAGAAACTACTACAGCGTGCAGGACTCAGGAGGAAGACAGGATGCCAGGGTCAGAGGCCACGTCTGGAATTCTTGAGATACCTAGTGGGATACAGCGGGGAATAGACCCTTTGTGGTGTTTCTACCATGTGAGGTGGACGTCAATACCTTGGCATGGATTCCAGGGTGGATTAAATACACAGTAGGAGAGAACTTCCCAGTCAGGACCAAACTGCTGGCAGGATTGTAAGGATTACCTAAAATTCTCCCCTGCCAGCCAACTCCTTTTCTCTGGCTGGACTGAGCTCATGTAGGCGGTGTCAGTTTGGAAATGTTCTTCTATTCTCTTAGGTTTGCTGGTTGGCTCCTGAGCAGACAGCAGGAAAGAAGAAGCCTTTTGTCTATACCCAGGGTCAGGCTGTCCTGAACCGGGCCTTCTTCCCTTGCTTCGACACTCCTGCAGTGAAATGCAAATATTCAGCACTTATTGAGGTAAGAGGATTAAGGTTAAGACCTGCCCTTGGGATTGAAGATTTCAGATCTATCTAGTCACATTTCAACTGGTAAATTGTTACATCCGTTCATTGGTACCTCTGCAAAATTCCTCCATGTACAGAAATTTTATTTGTGCTGAATTCCATCAGCTTAGCACAAGTTTAGTTTCTTGAAACCTTTGTGTTCTCCAAGACAGGCTCCCGGTCATGGCTGTCACCATGTAGGTTGCCCACCACGCTGTTCTTAGTGTGAATCAAAAGGAGACTCTGGGTAAAATCTCCTAAGCTTTCTCTCTTGTCAGGTCCCAGATGGCTTCACAGCTGTAATGAGTGCTAACACCTGGGAGAAGAGAGGTCCAAATAAGTTCTTCTTCCAGATGTGTCATCCCATCCCCGCCTATCTGATAGCTTTGGCCATCGGAGATCTGGTTTCGGCTGAAGTTGGACCCAGGTAGGAGACAAAGACCCCCACAGGCAAGGTTGGACTGACCTTGAGGCAAGGAGGCCTCTGCTCAGTGGCCCAGCTGGGATGGTTCTTGGGACAGTCTTGCATCTGCTCTCAATGGACAGCCTCTCTGCGGCCTGGAAGCGAAGCGTGTGGCGTGAGTACAGCGGGAGGAAGGGCTCTCCCCGCCCCGCTCCCCCTCCGCTTCTCATCCTGCTGTCTGAAATGAGGTCATCAGTCCTGCTAACAGCAGTAGCTGCTGTCCTGGGCCACCTTGTGGAGTGCGGTTGGCACCGAAGCAGAAGTTTTAGAAGACTCATCTTTATCACTATCTTTTAGTTCTGAATTCCCTTCTAGCTGTTATATTTGCTTTTTAATCTTTGTACCAAATCTCCCCATTTTCTCCAGCACATAATTCCCGGAAATATACAACTTTGATCTCATTGTTCCCCTCTGCAGAGAGGAAAGTGGGACATCCTTCTTTGTCTGCTCCAGATACATACACCTGAACCCATGGTGGCAGAGATACCGCCGTGAAATTAGATGGGTTTAACGGAGATGAATAAGGATTTTGTAAGGTTTCCTGCTAAAAGAAACTTGACCAGGAGTGTCGGTTTTTCCTGGCTCTCGTATTATCTGCCAGTACAGCATAATCCTGCAGTAAAATGATCAAAGGCTGGACAGTGAGCTGTGGCGCTTTTCCCGGCTCTGCTGCTGCAGCCCTTCTCTCAGGTCCTGGAGGCGGTGGTGACCTTGACCGCATTGGTTACAGGCATCAGACCTCATAGCCGGGCTCAGTAGCACTGCTAAGATCATGAATCTGAGTTCCTGGGCTTCAGAGAGAAGGAGAGATGGGATGCCATTGGCATCTGCTTCCAGCACACACACTGAACACAGTACCAGTTTTGAAAGACCAGGTGCTCTCCTGCCACGAAGGGCAGTCTTTCTGACAGAGTGGGTCGTACGTAACCAAAGCAGCGTCAGCGTTGCAGTTGACCGGAAAGTAAATAAGTAAAGGAATGTTATTTTAGAGAATTGAGTCTTACTAAGGTTCTGTTAGTAAGAGTATGAACTATTTATTTATTTATTTAATTTGATTTTTTTTTAAGATTTTATTTATTTGCGAGAGAGAGAATGAGAGACAGAGAGCATGAGAGGGAGGAGGGTCAGAGGGAGAAGCAG